CCCCAAGCCCTCAAGGCCTCCATGAAGCTCTCCCACCTCAAGTCCCCCGCCAAACCCGACGCCGTCCTCGCCTTCCTCGCCGGCATCGGCCTCTCCGGCGCCGACGCCGCCGCCGTCGTCGCCAAAGATCCGCTCTTCCTCCGCACTAAAGTGGACCAAACCCTGGCCCCTAAGGTCGTCGGGCTCACTGGCCTAGGTCTATCGAGTCCTGACATCGCCCACCTCGTCTCCCTCACCCCCGATTGCTTCCGCCGTAGATCCATAGTCTCCAAGATGCACTACTACCTGCCCCTGTTCGGCTCCTTCCACAACTTCCTCCGGGTGCTCAAGCGGGGAGGATCCCACCTTCTGTCATCGGACCTCGACAAGGTTGTCAAGCTCAATGTTGTGTTCCTGAGGGAGTGCGGGGTAGGTGATTGTGATATTGCCAAGCTGTGTGTCCCTGTGCCGAGGATGCTGACCACCAACCCGGAGCGCGTCCGTGCGATGGTGGCATGTGCTGAAAGATTAGGTGTGCCCCGTGGCGCTGGGATGTTCAGGCACGCGCTGCAGGCTGTCGCGTTTCTCACCGAGGAGAAGATCGCGGCCAGATTGGACTACTTGAAGAATACGTTCGGGTGGTCTGATGCCGAAGCAAGCATTGTTCTGCGCACGTATCCTAGTGTGCTGAGGAAGTCAAAGGAATCTCTGAAGCACAGGTCTGAGTTCCTGGTCTCTGAGGTGGGGTTGGAACCGGCGTACATTGCTCATCGTCCGGCGTTGCTCTCTTACAGCATGGAGGGCCGTCTCAGACCCAGGTACTATGTTATCAAGTTCCTTAAGGCAAATGGATTGTTAGGTCAGTACCGGGACTACTTTAGCATAGTCATGCTGAGTGAGAAGATATTTGTGGAGAAGTTCATATGCCCTCACAAGGAAGCTGCACCACTCCTTGCTGAGGACTATGCAACAGCTTGCAAAGGGGAAGTGCCAACTAATTTCAGATTTACATGAACAGAAGGGGGCTATGGAAATTGATTACAATGTATGGTGCAACAAAGTTATCACCTTGCATGTAACCTATTAGTACTTCCTGTTTCGATGTTCTTTTCCTAAGATGATGTTGGTTGTTTTCTGTAGTACGCCTGTTGCTAAATGCTAACTCCCTATGAAACTGATAATTTGATTCCTGAACCCCTATTTGTTGATGTTGTCATTCCTTAGAGAAGATCTCTGTAAATGAGAAGGCCATGGCTATATATGTGATTCCGACTTCCATTGAAGATCATAGAAATTGGATGTGTGGGTCGACCAATCTTTTGATGAAACCAGAAAGCAAAAGAGTAATGCTGTGTCAGTTTCCACCGAAATGTATCAGTATGATCTACTTTCATGCCAAACTTTATCTGTGTGGTCTAGTTTAGGAAGTGATCATCTGTGTGGTCTAGTTTAGGAAGTGATCATCTGTGTGGTGACTCCAACCCATTCTATTGGCCGTCGGATACAGTGCGCCTCTGTCCTGTTGTGCCTGCACTCTGCAGAGCATCAGCAGATCTGGGCTGCCGCTGTTATTTTTTCCTGCTAGTGACTTGAACTGAGGTACGTTGACTCTCTTTTCTTGAACGTCATGATCAAAATAGAGAAGAAACTTAACAGACGCAAGAGGGGGGGAAATGAAACACTTAGCAAAGTGTGCATGCTTGTGTTGATCTCTGCTTTATATTTGTATGGGGACGAATGGATTGGATGTTAGGTTCAGATAGGATGGATATATCTAAGCCCGTTGCCACTAGGAAAAAAATCATCCTGCTGTTCAGATTGATCAAGTTTTCTTTAAAGAGTTTTACTGGAGCAAAATTAATGGTTAAGATAGCTTATGTTTTTCACTGGGATTAGACTTATGTTTGCTCAGAAGATCCAGCTGAGCTAACTGTCTCTCAAGTAAAAGAAAAACGAACCTAACTAGTCTGATGTAATTTTTCTGCTTAACTGAATCCTTTTTTTGAGAAAATCTTCACTGAATCCTAATATGGTGACGCTGAATTACCATAAGTAAGCATGAGTATGTTTTCCTTACTTTGAAACGATGGACACTGCAAGTGGTTTGAGGTTTCTAATGTTCAGTTCTGACTATTGAACATTCATTATTGACTGAAGAAGTGGGTGTTTCGATTGATGCGTCGGGTCAAATATGTATATATATGATTAAGGCGAGTGGTGTGTTTCTCAGGTTTACATTGCAATGACCACTGTTCCTAGAAACACGAACTGAATTTATGATTATACACTAGGCCCGCATGATTCAGTTTTATGTAAATTCAGCTTTGTGTTTTAGCTACACATTTCTTTCGGCGCAGAACTGTGCCGAAGTTGATGACAGACGTATCGGGTATTGCGGGACCAGTTGCCACCTGCCGTCACACGACGTCACCCTGGGATTGGGAGAGAATGGTTAGTAGGTGGTGATCGCAGTGTGGGAAGAAGCCAAGCGTGGCGGTTGGGCTCTGAGCATGGAGGGTAGTAGTTCGCGTCTATCTGGGTCACCTCAGCGGTGGGTGAGCTGGAGCGAAGTCTGACAAAAACAAAGTGCGTGCCTGTACCTGTAAGAAGCCGAACTCCATGCCGGCCTGGATGACATTGACATGGCTGAATGGTCTCATCTAATTACATTTTTCCAAATCATGGTTGAACGAATTATGTGTTGTCAGTTCCTTTTTTTTCCCATGTTCAGGTTTTAAGAGTGATTTGTGAAGTATCAGTGTTCAGTGATGGGCCATCTTCAGATACATGGCCATGGGCAGTGGGCTCATGCTCTCCTTCCACTAAGAAAGTCATGTAGCCTCAAACTCTGGCTTACTCTTTGATTTTGATTTTTTTTGGAGAACTGCTCCTCTTTTTACCTGGAGGATTTATTATTTTGTTAGTAAGAAATCCATCTATTTTACTGCGATTTAGATTTGCTTCTTCTGGTCATTGGTTGATTTCGTTAGTGAAATTCTGCACTTGCTTATCTTATTCTCATTGCGTCTTGTCATTAGTTAATTTCGCGCATTGCAGTTAGCTCTCCATAGCTGCAGAATTGGAGAGTGTTCAATCCAAGAGTTTGCAAACTACAGGAGACAATATCATGTGGAAAATTTATATCGTCATAGTTATATTTTGCCTCTGTTCTATGTTATGTTTTCTGTTTGTCATGTTGTTTACAGATTCTTTGGAAGTGCTTTCTTGTATTGGCGTTCTTGTGCTTTGATTGTTAGATTGCCGCTGTTTATGATGTGGTGTTGTTGCCCCTGGTATTTTCTGTTGGTTGTTGCTGTCTGTTCTCTATCATATGCTTTCCCGTTGTGGAAGAAGCTACGGTACTTAGAGTTCAAAAGTTGAAACCAGAAATTCCATGTGTTTTAATGTTTGATGACAAATGCGATGTTGTGCTGCTGAGGTAGCACCCTTTCAGCGTAAAATGCAATAAAAGCGACACCTCCAGTATAGCATTTTCAACAGCTGTAGCCTAGATTTTTTTTACAGCATCGAAGCAATGACGCTGATGCATTTCCAATTAAGTCACATCAAGTTGAGCTTAATGAGTACTCCCTCCGTCCGGAAATACTTGTTGAAATGAATGTATCTAGATGTATTTTAGTTCTAGATACATCAATTTTCATTCATTTTGATGACAAGTAATTCCGGACGGAGGGAGTACATCGATCGAGATGAGACATGCACAGGCAAGATTGATCAGGAGCTTAATCAGGACGGAACACTTCCAAACTCTGTTGTCTGCATTAATTGCGCTGGCAGAAATATCCGTTTTAAGAATAAAACTGAAGGTGCTTCAGGCTTACAGTCCTCGAGAAGAAGAAAATACTCCCTCCGTACCTAAATATAAGTCTTTTTAGACATTCCACCATGGACTACATACGGAGCAAAATGAGTGAATCTAGACTCTAAAATATATCTATATACATCCGTATGTAGTTTGTAGTGGAATCTCTAAAAAGACTTATACTCCCTCCGTTCCTAAATAATTGTCTTTCTAGAGATTTCAACAAGTGACTACATACGGAGCAAAATGAGTGAATCTATACTTTAAAAAATGTCTACATACATCCGTATGTTGTAGTCCATTTGAGATGGCTAGAAAGACAATTATTTGGGAACGGAGGGAGTATTTAGGAACGGAGGGAGTAATTAAGTTACAGAAAGCAAAGTGGCGGATCGATCGAATGGATGGCTACCGGAAAGTAACAGAGGGATGCCTTGGGTGCAGGCTTGCGGCCCCCTTGAAGGCAGACTCGAGTTCAGTGTGTGCATCTTGCCTGAAGGCATACTTATCAGCGAATGAAGCAGCTCGATTTGTGCGCAGCTCAATTTGCTGGAGGCAGGGCAGGCACTCCATGCCGACTGGTGTAGCACCTCTCCACTCTCTCCAGCTGGATTGCAGGGTGAGCGTTTGTACCTTGGGCATAGCTCCCGCCTCAAAGCTTAGACACACATTGACATCTTTGTCACACTCGAACTGGGAACAACCCCATGCCAACCACAACTTTGTCTTTGGAGACATCCGACACATTGATCATGACATAGACGAGGGAGGGGAGCTCACCAAGAAGACGAACCTCATCACTTGACAGGTGCAACACATGAAGATTAAGGATCCGGAGGTAACATAGTTCACCAATCCATTTGGGAACTCTTCAGTCCAATATTCCACGATGAACGCGATGCTGTTCATGTTAATGTGAGTTTGAATTCCTACATGGCCAAGGCACCTGTTTCGGTTCTGATACCAGCGCCCAATCCATCCACCATCAAAAAGCATCCTGTAAACAATTTTTACGAATTGACTGGATGTAGTTTCACTCAAAGTCACAGAAAGTTGAGCAAAAGATATATACATAATTCGGCAGCAGAGTACGATTCGTGTATCATAGACATATATACATAATTAAAGACGTCCAAAAGTATACATTCACACACACACACATCAGATGAGAAGAAATATTTCCAAACTACTGTCTGCTTTAAGATGCCCTGATCGAAATGCCCCCCTTGAAAAATAAAACTGAAGTGCATCAGGTTTACGGTAACCGAGAAAAGAAATCAAATACGATACTACGCAAGGGAGATGTTCAAGACAACAAAGTGGCGAGGAAATTAATTAAGTTACAGACGATCAAGAGGTGGATGGATCGAACGGATGGCTAATTAAATGAAACAGAGGGATGCCTTGGGTGCAGACTTGCGGCGCTCTTGAAAGCAGACTCGACATCAGCACGTACATCTTTGGGATTTTTGTCTGACTTGAGCACGTACAGGTTGACATGCACGTGGATGTGCTGGAGGCAGGGCAGGCACTCCAGGCCGGCTGGTGTAGCGCCTCTCCACTCTTCACAACAGAATTCCAAGGTGAGTTTTTGTAGCTTGGGCATAGCTCCTGCCTCGAAGCTCAGATACATATTGACATCTTTGTCACACCAAAACCAAAAGTGCTCCAGAACTGGGAACAACCCCATCCCAACCACAACTTTGTGTTGGGAGACATCCGACACGTAGAGCTTGACATAGACGAGGGAGGGGTGCTCACCAAGAACACGAACCTCATCACTCGACAGGTGCAACACATGCAGGTCGAGGATCCGTAGGCAACATAGTTCACCAATCCATTTGGGAACTCTTCTGAACTCCCATTGTGGCAGATAGAGTTCCTCGAGACGGGGAGGAGGATCATGTAAGGAGTCTAGCTGGCTGTCAGGGTCACTGCATCCACGCTTCCAATTGAGATGAAGGCGCTTGAGGTCTCGGAGCATTTCGAAGGAGGAGACCAAAGCATCCTCTTGTTCCAATGTCAAACACTTGTTATAATGCGTGCTTAAGTCCAATTCCCTTAGATTGGTCAGCTCACCAAGGCCTTTGATATCATTCAACAAACTCTTCGACATGTCCCAACAACGTAGGGTGCGGATTGATTTCATCTTCTTGATCCCTTCAGGCAGCGCTACACACCTTGGAAGATTCAGATGAAACAAGTTGGCCAAACAACTTATGTCTAAAGGAAAGCTTTGTGTCGGCTGGCATGAGATATCCAGAGTTTGCAAATGCACAAGCCCTTGAATTTCTGCTGGGAGCGCTACGCCTGCTAATAATGCTAAAACCTTCAAATATCTCATTAAAAACAAATGACCGATTGCAGTGAGGTCAACTGTCGTTTTCCAATAATAAGGAAACTCAAAGGTAAGCACCCGTAGATACTTAAACTGTGAAAGGGGAGGGGTGTATTGGGACTCTCCAAACCATGCATATGATCGAACTTGTGGCATGCTAGTAGTAAGGGTATCCGATGTTGCACCACCGGCACTCGATTGGAGGGATAATCGACGAACCTTGTTCTCGCAACTGTGCAAAGTTGACATGTCTTCATAGTTATATGCTACACTGATAAAATTATTTTCTGTACTCTTGCTTAGGATCAAATCAAGCATCATATCATGTAATCTGCAAGAAAGTACCTGCCCATAATATGTTCTTCTTGGCTGAATCATACTTCTATTGACAAGCTCGTTGAAATAACTTTCCGCAACATCATTCAAATCTGATCCGTGTGAACTACAAACAAAGCCTTCGGCTATCCATTGCCGAACCAGGTCTTCCCTCTCAATCTCACGATCTTCTGGATACATGCCAAGATACGAAAAACATGGCCGAAGATAAACAGGAAGATGCATGAAGCTAAGGTTCAGTATGCCCCTCATCTCTTCCAAGGTGGGTTTTGTGGCAGACTTGGCACCAAGAGAATTCTTTATACTCTCCCATTCACTCAATGGTCTTGCTTCATGGCTAGCTAGTAGGCCAGCTACAGTGATAATTGCAAGTGGCAATCCGCCACACTTCTTGAGAATTTGAGCTGAAATTTCTTTAAACTGTGGTGGGCAAACATTTTCGGGCCCAAATACTCTACTAAAAAATAATCTTCTTGAGTCCTGCTCTTCAAGTGGCTTCATACTGTGAATGCATGCACGATCACCCAAGCATGCTGTGGCAGCTACGTCATCCAATCGTGTGGTTACCATTACTCTACTTCCATTAGCATTGTCTGGAAAGGCACACCTAATAGTATTCCATGCTAATTGATCCCACAAGTCATCAACTATAATTAAGTACCTATTGCAATTCATACATTATATCAGTATATGGTTGTAAGGTACAGAGAAGCATCAAAACTAAAATGAACGAAACAAAGTATGCTAAGAATGATGTCAAATGTCGGGAAGAAAATATACCTCTTATGGCTGAGGTGTTGTCTAAGGCGATCAATAATATCTTGCAACTCGTAAGCATGAGAAGAATCTTCCATCCCAAGCTTTAACTGTAGGCTAGTAAGAAGGCTTTTCACATCTGGCCTTTGGGAGACTGAGAGAAATGCCTTGCATGTAAATTGCCCTGTAATCTCATCATACGCTTGCTTGGCAAGTGTAGTTTTACCCAAACCTCCAAACCCTACGATGGAAACCACTTTGAGTTTCTTCTGAGAATCGATCAACAAATTGACTAGCTCTTCTCTCGGGCCTTCAATACCAACGAGGCATGCCGCCTCCTTGTAAATGGCCGAAATCCGGGGATCCACAACCACAGGGCCAGGGCTCGAATTGATGCAAGCATCAATATTGTACCTCTCACGCCGAGCATTCGCCTCCACCGCGAGAACCTTGAGCTCCTCAATCCGGTTGGCGATCTGATGACGCCTCCCCAACCTTTTGAGCCATTGAGCCATCTTCCTGGCGAAGCCTTTCTTTGCTTTGGCACCTTCAATGTCATGAATGAAATCATCAATGCAGTTCTCCATATCATAGGACATCTCCCTGATGTGGTCCCTCCAATTCTTGGCGGATGGATGGAGGTTATCCATGAGTTCCATGGTGTCAAGCAGAGCTTTCATGGCGCTGAGCTCGTCCTTGAGGAATGAGGCCTGCTTCCTGACCCCTTTGAGCTTTTTGTACTCCTCGCCGAGCAGCTGGCTGAGCTTGCCGAGGAGCGGGTTCAACACCCCCGTCGTCGCACTCACTGCCATGCCGATTTGGACTGCTCCTCTGCCTTCCCTCCTGCGCCGCCCCGGAACTAGAGAGAAGGCTCGAGGCGTGGATGCAGCCTAGCTGAGAAACTATGACGCAGGAGGCGCACGCCGCCGTTGCCGTAGCTGGGGAGTGGGACTGCCCTACTGAGCTCACTGCCACCGTTCCTGCACTGTCTCTCGCCGTCGCTGTGGAGGTGAGGTGGAGAAGAGGCTCAGCGGAGAAGGGTGCGAGGTAATGGGGAATTTGGAATGGGAGAAGAGGTCAAGAGGCTCGGCCTTTGTTTCCTGCTGCGCTGCTGGGATGACAAAGCTGTCTTGTGCAATGGTGGTATATAGTTAACTCAAAACAGTCTGTACATTGCACTGCACTAGGAGTTAATTACTCCTACTACGCAATTAGTAAAATTGTTTTATTGACACTAGTACTCCTAGAGATGGACGGTAAGATTAACTACTCCAGCCATGCTTTTCTTTACTGGTTGATTGTGGGGTGGTTCAAACCGACGATGCTTTATGTCTGCCTCGTTCACATTTGGCATTTCTCAGAAGATTCCTTTAAAGAAAAAACAAAGAGAGCAGGAGGACATTGCTATATCTTATTCATCAGTAGAAGAAAACATACAAATTTTACACCCCACAAACACACAGCTGTTCGGCGGGGACGCTTCAAATTACTGACTGTACATTTAATTACATGAATATACTGTCTACGATAATTGTGCCGGCTGGTGTCCTTTTTCTTTTCGACGCTGCGTTGGATTGGTCAAGTCTCTTCCAATCTATATATTGGATAATCTCATCTTTATAGTATGGTTACTTCATTGATAAGACGTAAGAAGACGAGTAATGAGCCATTGCCGGCCGGCCCGGTCAGTTTTCGTTTCTATACACCTAAGTCGCCTATGACAGGGGCCGGCCAACAACTACGCCAGGTCATGTGATTTGGATCCATCAATAATGCGCTAATAGAAAAACATTGAGCAAAGCGAGAAAAGTTAGGGTAACAAGCTTGGATGCTGGCAGGCAGACGAACGCTAATTAATAAGCCACATATATGGAGCATAAGGGTTGCAATAAGTTGCCTGGCCTTGTCATCCTGTATATGCTGGCCAGTGCATCCCCGTAAAGAAATCAAGGTTTTTAGTAGGTGTTTCAGTCCAAAAGCTATCTACTACC